AAACTTAAATTTTTTAAACTCAGCTTAGATGCTTTGTTTTTGTTCTCTTGTTAAAACAAATCCCACATCTTCATCTATACAGGTACATATTACATTTTATCCTCCAAAATGATGGAAGCGCTTGACCTCTTTCTTGGAATGTTTTATTTATAGTCGAAATGCTACCTACTGATCATGACACACTGATTATCATGAATTGTGATCTCAGGAAAAAAGGAAAATTAAATCTCAAGGTTCTTACATGCGGCTTAAATGAAGCATTAGTTATTTAAATGTTTAAAAAAATTGACATTTTATTTTGCGATACATGGAATTGTTTTAAACATTAATGGCTATTCACAAACTCTGTGTAGTGACTTGTTTCAAGCGGAAATTTGGTAGGGATATTAGCCGAAATTCTAACAATTTGGTATAGATAACGATGACAGTTTAACACTGGAGATACAGTTTCGACTTGATATAAACCCTGTCAAGCAAAAGTGCTGAAAGACTTTTTCTTAATTTTCTTCTGTATTATTAAAAGCATGACATTTTCAGTCACTTATAATTAGTTGCTGCTATCTTTACAGTTTCCCACACCAACAATTGCAAAAATTACATTCGCTTCAAATTTCAGATTTTCTCCCTGCTAAAAACTTTTCACATGAAAACTAAGCACACTTAGAAAATGAGACCTCTGGTCATTTGCATCCTAGCGACGCCACAAGATACCTGTTTGGAAGCACATGCTGCTACTCTAAATCCCTGATCAAGACCTTCAGCCCAATAATGCTCCATGGACACTGCAAAAAGCTGCTTATTGCTACCCAAGGGATGGGGGAAATACAGACAACTACTGTTTACTGTAGTATTTTTTTCTGGAACAAGACTATATTGTTATGAAAATGCAAAGGTTTTATATTATCATTGATATATAAAGTTATCCAACTTGCTCTACAGCTGAATGATTGATTTTTGTTGTATAAAAGTATGCTAGTGTGTCACTGTATGGATATACAAACAGATGTTTGTGTATCCAGCTATTAGCATTGTGAGTCATGTAAAATCCTTACACTTGGAAGGTGTCCATACTGTCTTTTACCAACTCAGTCTTGGATTTTTCTGCTGGGAAATCTTCTGCCTATGTTTTTATTTGGGCATCTGCTCTGTGTACTGTTGTCAAGGGATGAAGCGCAAACTGTCACCCAGCTACTGTATTTTGGATTTTATGACTGAGAGGCATTGCGTTAACCAGATTGAGAAATGAAAGGTTTTGGTTTTCGTTGAAAAACAAAACCTCCATTTTTGCAACATACAAATTTGATCTCTCTCCTTTTTTTTTTCTTTCCACATTGTAGTTCAATGTCAAACTCAGCTTTGTTTTAGGAGCTCGACTTTTACCAATCACAACTTGGATACGTTTTTGGTTTTTTTGGTTTTCAATCTGTTTGTCTGGATCAGGAACATTCTATTATACAACTATGTCCTGCTCAACTCAAACCTTTAGTAGTATATAATTACAGTGGTTCCTGCTTTTGTGTGTTGAAATAAGGCAATGGTTCTCAGATTAAACATATATATTCCCACCATAATTTACTACGTTTTTCCCCACATATTTTACATAGCTCAACTAAGAAACAACCTGATCTGTGCAGAGTTAAAATGTAAAACAAAAAAGTCATAAAAACCCTACTGCATGAGTCTGCAGATCATCCTGCTAACAATTGCTGAAGCCCCTTTTGTATTGAATTTAAACATTTTTTGTCCACGGGTTAGGGTTTATCAGCATAGCAAGACCTGACTCTAACATTCGTCCATCTGGCAAAAGTTCTCCTGATTTGATGGATCACAAAGAAATCCCTTGTAAGAAGCCCTCTTCAGCTAAAGGTACATTTTTTCAGTTCTGATTAAGCCATTCCAGAATAGAATAAGTTTTTTTTTATTTTCTAGTGTAGCCCTTCTTTTTTTATTTGGACTCATTCTTTAAATATTTATTGTCAAACCCTTATAACAAATTTACATATTTGTTAATTATACATGTTATTTTTACAGTATAATGAATTGTTTTCTATGCTTATCTTCTCCCCTTATTCAAAAAAAACATCAACATTTTAATGGCTTCATCTCTGCTAAGAGAATAAGCATTTGAAATATCTATGCAGTTAGGAAAGGATGATGGTGACATTTAGTGGTCATTTATTAGTATTACAAATCATGGCCGTATTTCAGCATGAACAGCCATATCTAGTTCATCCCACTGGTGGAAAAGCCACAATGCAAATTCCATAAAAGTTCATAAACACATCAGGGTCTGCAATTTGTCATCAATTAGACACAGAGTGAAGATGAAAGTTTTTAAGAACAAATTATATAATCAACAGTTATTGTGAGTCGAGATGCACCATGGGGACATGCCTAGCTCAACATTTTGTTTGGGCATGGTATTCTTCCTGAAGCTTTCCTTCTTCAGAGTGTATGCCAAGCATTTTTAGCACAATATGTCAGTTGCTCACAAGTAACAGCACCAATATCAACCAACCGGCAACTGTGCTAACAGCACAATTACTTCACATAATATTAGCAATTGTCATAATAAACATTTTGAAAATTGCTAAGGAAGATTTTAGATCTACTTAAAGTATTAGATACTGAATATGCAAGACTTGCCAAAGAAAAGGATGAGGGTAAAAGATCTAAAAACTGGATTTTGAAAAGAACAAAAAAAGTGTAATTTGTCCTAAACTGTCCAGCACAGATTAGTGCTGCAGATTTACTTATGTGATAATCTCTGGTACACAAACAGCACCGCATGAGTCATGCCAAAACAGACACCCACGCAACACTGGATTAAAGGATCTTGCTATCGGTAGATAGGATTAAAACATACTATTAAAATATATATTTATGTGTGTATGTAAATAGTAAGATTTTTCTAATTCAACAATTATAAGGATAAAAAGAACCCCCCTTCAAAGATTGTCAATGTTTTTCCCGGTTTTCATCACATCAAGCTTTTATATGTTGTTTTCTGAGGTGTCAAAAGTATTCATGTTTATTTTTGAAGTATAAGTACAAATACTACCGTTTAAAAACAGTGAGTTTCAACTTAAGCTTTTTTACTCAAGTAAAAGCATAAAAGTACAATTTTTAACACTACTTAAAAGTAAAAATTAAAGTAATGCAGGGAAAAAGGTTAAAGACAGACGCTTTAAAGCTCATACTTGTTACTGCACTAGACTTTTAAAGGAACATTTTTCCACAATTCTGGATGATAACTTTCTGATAATTAAGTTTCTTAGTGTTATACAGTAGCTAATGGTAGGAGTGTCAGATTTAACTTTGAAAAATCTTGAAAAACTATTTATTTTGGCATGCGTTGAACAAGTTGGTGCAGCACCGAGTCAAACAACAAAGAAATAATTGTCTGGGTGAAGCTAATTATTTAGAAGGTTTTTTATTAATTTTTAAATATAAAAAGGCCATAACTAAAATGAGCTTAAATGAAATAAAACTAACACATCTATTTTTAAAATGTAAGGTGTAGAAGTAAAAAGTTGCCTAAAAAATAATTACTCCAGTAAAGTACAGATAGCCAAGATTTCTACTTAAGTGAGGTAAAAAAGTATTTGTACTTAGTTACTTGACACCTGTGGTTGTTATAATGAAACACATATTTCGAGAAGCAATGCCAGGAAAAGTTTTCTCAACCAAAATTTTAATCATCCTCCTACTCATAGATTAGATGGAGGTTTAGTACAGGGTTTAACTCATGAGTAACCAAAATATATCCTAAAACAGTGGAACAATTGAAGAACTAAGGGAGCTCAAATATTGTTAACTTATCTTTCTTTTTAAAAAAAAGAATGTGTCTTGGATTAGAAATAGACCCAACAGTGCAACAGTGGTGCTGTTCACTCTAGAATAAACTGATACAGTGTAAAACAAATTAAAAGGATGGGATTGCGCAGCAGCTGCCTACCTGATGAATATCTTTTTAGACTGCAGAAGGATACTAACAGACTGTTTTCAATTCCATTGACACTAATAGAAACTAGACCTAGCTGAGATAACTTTGTGCTAACATTGCAAACAACTTCACCAATATGCAGCCTTTACTCTAAAGAGATCTGATCTCTGGGGGGGGTTTCTTGTGGGTTAGAGCAGTGTGCTTGTGCTCTGAAAAGGTTGCAATTACCTGGTTCAGACCCCACAGCCTCCACTCTAGGTTCCTGAGCTAAACCCTTAACCCATGATTGCGCCACACAATGGCAATTGTGTGGCGCAATCATATATAGATCCCTTTAGACAATAAAGGGATCTATATCCCTTCACCCCTCACTTGTAAACAACACCCAGAAATTATTAAACTCTGACAATTGAGGCAAGGACTTCTCCACAACTTGGAAAGGGTAACCCTCCTTTTTCTAATCAAGAATCTTGGTTTCAGTTTTTGTGGAACTTATTTTCAGCCTGGACCCTTTACTGATTTTGAACAGCCCAATCCATTCTGTTGGACTTGCCTAGAGCAGCCATTATCAACCTTTGGGTTCCATGTGCCATAGATGTTTGTTTTAAATCCCTGTTTCCATGATTTTCCTCTTAATAGAGCCATAAAAGTGGACTAACTATAATTCACCTTTTTTACATTCTTCCTTTATACACATCGCCTGACGGCATAGCGCTTTTGACCTAATCTGAAATTCCAGAGATTAAACATGCGGCCAACTCTCCATCCTTAATTCCTTCATCCCCTCCCCCTTTTTCTCCTGCAGATTTACACACATTCACCCACACACACTCAGAGTTCTGCCAGGCTTGTCATTTTGAGTGCATGAATATGATGTTTTCAAGGCAGAGGGGAGACGATGGGTGGGATGAATTAAATTTAGTTGGACTAAATTCAAAAAATGACTTGTGAGGATAGAAAGAAGCTTATGTGTTAGTGTGTAAAAAGACAGACAGTGTGGAAGACAGAGAGAGAGAGAAAAACAGAGGGAGAGAGAAAAATGGTCAAGTCCTGCAATCACAGCCAGAGTCTGGCAGTAGCAGGATGTTTCAGCCCAGATATGAGCCAGTGTTACCGACCTGCTCAGTCAATCTTTAACATCCTGCTTTTCCATAATATCTCACCAAACCTTTTAAATATCTGAAGTCTTGGATTCAACATAGCATCACACACCTGTTTTACGCCTCAGAGGACCAATAGGATTCAGGGCAAGTGAATTTAGAGCAGGTGCCTTTAGTGACAGAAGTGCAGCTGGAAACTTTTTTTTTCCTCTCTTAAAAGCTGCCTCATTGCAATGGGAGGCTCTAGATTGAGCATGGATTTTGGAGTTTTATGTGACTTTTGAGTAGAGGGGGGGACCAAGGAAAAAGGAGTAGAAGAAACCCTGTATAATTGCTGCGACCACCAAAGAAGAAAGGGTGGGGGGGTGGGTGGAGATCCGTGGGGAGGGTAATGGGAAACATCAACAAGGCTTCTAACAAGGACAGTGACAGGAAAAAGGTATGTACACTTTGCAGTAAAACTGAAAGAGAACACAATGCCTTGTAAAAGACTTTAACTCTGACATCTTGTCACATTTTGTGAATCACAAACTATGGATTTTGTGTCAAGACCAATACAGAGCAGCACATTGGTGTGAGGAAAACTATGCATTGTTTTCAAAATTGAAAGTAAAACAATTGAAAAGCCTGGCCAGACCTTCTAGGTCAGTACTTTGTTGAATGATCATTTTGCTGCAGTTACAAGATTTTTGTTTGCCTTTCCACCAGCTATACAGATCTAGAGACTGAACATTTTGCCTTGTCCTTCTGCTATTGACTAGAATTTAAATTGTTCCTTTTAATGGACCCTTGCAACAAATAAATATTTTTTTAATCTGAACCCCGCCGTTGTTTCTCTTCATGAGCAGAGGCGATTCTAGAGTCTGTGGGGGCCCCAAGCAAAAAATCCTAGGGGGCCCTACTGACCAGTGTTCATCACCATTATGTTAGGCTGTAAATAATCTGACACCAATGAAAAATGTATTAAATAAAACCTTTTTTTTATTCCAAATGTTCTAAACATGAACAACCTTGTTATTTTGGAAAATATAAAAGAATAAAAGTAAAGAATAAACTAATAAATTAAAATAAATGTATAATAAAATAAAATAAAAAGTAAATTACTTTAAAAACCCAATATAAACTTTGTACAAAATATAAAGTAGCTATAGTAAGTGTAGTGAAATTATTGGGGTCCTATTAGGGCTGGGCGATAATTCAATAACGATATATATCGATCAATAGACGTGTGGCGCAATAGAAAAAAAGAGGGTCGATAAAAGTTCGATAAAAAAGAAACGCAGTTTTCCTTCCTTCTCATTGTAGCCTAGCATGTAGGTTTATGCTAGTCACTGCTTCCTCCCAACCAATCACAATCGCGGACCCAGGCACGCCGTCACAAAGCGCCGCCCTCTCAAACCACAACACAGAGCACATGAAGATGTTGCAGCAAGGAGAGGCGGAGGAAATTGTTTCAAAGAAGGGTTTTTGTAGTTCGCCAGTTTGGCAGTATTTCGGTCATGGAAAGTCGGACAAAAAACAAACCACAGTCATCTGTAAAATGTGTAGGGAACCAGTGAAAAAGAAGTCTGATAAGACAACCAACTTTTTTTTATTATCTCAGCCGCTCACACCCGCAGGAGAAGAGCTGTGCAGGCCCCGGCGCGGCTCTGCATCGCCTCCGAGGAATCTTCGGGAATTTCGGGAAAATATATATTTTCAGTTTCAGGGCAGTTTCCCACGTAGTTCTAACAATTGAGAGAAAAATGCTGAGGGGCCAGAAACTTCAAAGTAATAACTCAGGTTAAAGCAGGAAACTAAGCTGAACCAGGTTCAGCTTAGAAAAATGGGGGCGGCAGCGGTTGTGGGGGGTCCATTTATTTATTTGTTATATTTATTTTGGTCACTTTTCTGGTCACTTTAGTTTATTCTTTGTCAGTATTGAATAACATAATTCAGGTCTCTTAAGTTATTTTTCTTTAAAACAATTTTGTTATGGTTAAAAAATTTGGTTAAATAAATATTTTATTGGAAGTCTGTGATTGTGTTCTTTATTCAAATTAAATCATTTAGCAATATCATAAAATGTCCAGGCAGAGCTGCACAAAAAATATGGTTTCAAATCTTTTCAATAATTGTCGATATTGATCAATATGCATTTCTTTTTTTATCGATAAGCTTTTTTTCTATATCGGCTAGCCCTAGGTCCTATACTGCTTCCAGAATTGCTGCTTACGGGATTTGGCTTTCGCAAATGCAGACATAAGTCCTCCAGATCCAAAGACCTTCGCACACTATACTCTATGGAAATAAGCACCAGTCCTGAAAGTCTCTCTTGAGACATGGAAAATGAATCATTTTCCTTCAGCTTAGTTACATAATTGCTTTCCAATTTACTGAACGATAGGCCTAAAACGTCACCCATTCGCTAGGCTACATTCATTTTCATTAAGGGAAGTCATCCACCTGGGCAGGGCTGGATTTTGACTGGGCAAAGCCAATGTCAATCAACATTCCATCCAATCTGAATTTTTATATGCAGTTGTGCATCTCCTCAGTTACTATAGCGTTGCCACTTCATGCTCGCCTGTTGCTGTTTATCTACCGGGTGTACAGTAGCTGGCTCTCGGGGGCCCCCCAGCGGCTCGGGGGCTCCAAGCAGTTGCTTGGTTTGCCTGTTGACAAGGTGCGCCTCTGTTCATGAGCTAAGTTTTTGATCTACTTCTGACTCAGTCTGAAGTAATTTGGCAGCCCCCTGCAGAGTTCCTTCCTCAATAGAAAAAAATAACATCCCCACAGCATCATTCTAACATCACCATGTGTCACTGAGGGATTCCTTTAGGTGATCTGCAGATTTGGTTTGTGTGCAAACATCATTTTGCTTGTGGTCCATTTTTTTTTTTTTTTTTTGCTTCTTTTTTCTTGATAGGTCACCTTTTTGACATACCCATTGTTCTTTCTACAAACTAAAATGCCACTTATTGTGGCTTTGATTTAATAACGGCTGTCTTCATAATAATTCTAGACTAAACTCCTATCAACAAATTCCCCCTGTGACGGGGCAGCGCGGTCCCTCCCGCTGACACGCATGCACGCATACACACAGCAACGCACGTGCGCACACACCCATTCAACTGCGAGTCCCTTTTCATGTATGACAGTTACTGCCAGATCGTTTTAGTTAGTGATGCACATTAATCGGAACTAATACATTTACACTTAAACAAATACACAAGTTTGCACTTACCCGTGGAGCGTTGTTTTGGCCGACTGGGCCGTTTGAGAGAAAGTGGGCGGTGTACTTCTGGTGTTTTTCTTTCCTGTTTGTTTTTTCCCCCATAAAGGAAGTCAGTGATTTTCTGCTGGCAAGCTTGTTTTTTTTTTTTTTTTTTTTTTTTTTTTTTTTTTTTTTTTATAACTAAAGAAAGTAACTTCAGAATGGAAGCAGGAAATTAGTAATTTTTTTTCTAGGGATAAGTGTTTATTTAATTTTTTTTAATTATTAAAATCAATGCTCAATTGTTTGCTGATCTAATTGTAGGGCGGGGCTAAGGATTTATAAAGAACTACTGGCCCTACTGGGTCAGTCTGGCCTGGTTACAGAGAAGGTAACGTTGCTGTGCTACACAAAGTTTTTTTTTTTCCTCTGAAAAGATGTAAATACTACATTTGTATCCATCTTATTTTTTCACATTTTTCCCTGCTACTCTGCACTTATTTTTTGAAGGTGTAAAATAAATATCATAACCTGAAGATGTCGACATGCCCTCCATGATTTTTTTCATTATTTTGGAGTCAAGTTTACCGTGTCAAGGCCCAACACAGGTAGCCTGACGTAGTCCTACTCAATTCTAGTCAGAATATGAGTCTGATACGGCTCCATAGAGCTGTGATTATGGGGCGTGTTTCGAACGAACCAGGGGGAAAAGAAATGCCTCTGCACTCAATTGGATAGACCTACAACCAATAAGAGCAACGGAGTGCGTGACGTATGTTAAGCGACGCATAGTTGTTGTCAACAAAAATCAAAGCGTGCAGTTTCACACCTAGAATAAGATGAGCCTTGATCGCGTTTCTCTGTTCCTCTTTTAAAATTGATTTGCTGTTGATATCTTCTAGAACAGACCTAATAGCAGAATCTACTCACCCAAACTCTCCAGCGGCAGCCATTGTTGTTGTCACCCAAGCGTGCTTTGGTGACGTGGTTGATTACGTTACTGTTGATCATCTGTCCATCATCGTAAAGCCCGCCCTGACAATTTGATTGGCCCACTAGATATTGTGCGAGCATACTTGCGCTACTATTGAGCAATGCCAGACCGAACTTCCCGACCTCAAACGTTGTGGGCGGGACTAAGTTCGGAATGGCACCCAGGCTACAACACAGGGGCTGTTAGCAGGAACCCACGACACCCCCATCTGTCCTCTGAATCTGTGTAGCACCTTCAGATCTTTGGTTTCAAGTTTTGTCCTAGCAGAGCTGGGATTTTTACTTCTGTATCTATATTTACTTGGAGTCACAGTTTTTTTTGCCCCTTCCATGTTTGGATGATGAGAGTTTTGTGACTTCAAATCCTAACACTAGTTTAGGATTTCATATCTGGATTTTGTCAAAGTCCTCTATGCAAATTTATCCCTAAAATATCTGTTGTGTTTTTTGTTCTTCATGGTGACGTGTGTTCTAAATTGTTCTCCAAAAAAATTTACCAACTAAATTTCAATTGGGTAACTACTTAAAGCAATTGGTTTCCTGGGATTTAATGAAGGGATATCAGAATAGAAGGGATTGATATGTATGAAAATAAATATGCATCAAACATTTTTAGTCATGTGCTGTATGTGTTGGTCTTCTCAAAAAAATCCAAGTAAAATTCGTAATTTTATTACTCTTAGGATGCAAAATATGGCACTATATCAAAGTAAGATTCATAAGACTAAAATCTGACTATTACAGAACTGAATGTTGTTTAAAATAACCAAAACAGTTATCTTAACAAAATCTGACTCCTTCCTTCCACATTAGTGTATCATCATGTTAATATGAGTGGTTCTCTTGTCCAAGGAGGCTTCACCCATTCAACAAAGCGACACAGCGTTAGCTGCTGCAATGCTAGGTTCCCTGGGTGGTGCAGGGGAGGTGGACACAGAGGAGGAAGAGGAGGAGGATGAGGAAGGAGGGAGCAGGCCTGAATTTGAGGACCCCCTGTGTGCTCTGGTTAAGAACTGCAACATGCTGCACAACATAGTGGGGCCTGCTTGTATCTTCCTCAGACAGGGCTTCGCTCAAAGTCAGATTGTATGTATGACTCTCACCTGCACATCACAACTTTACAGCAGGTTCTCTCACTAATCCACTCTGTTACACTTTGACCTATACTGATCAAGGGGAGGTCAAATCTGCTGGGTCATCTTCACAATTAAAATCACACCATATCATTCCTATATTTATGAGCCCGTTTGCTGAATATAAAAGGAAATATTTTATGTAAAAGAACAGAATAACATATGTTAAAGTGGTCTATTGTATGCTATGTTTGAGTACGATGTAATTAAACGCTACATTTTTTTAGTTTTCTAATTGAAAAAAATACTCTGAGGAAAGCATGGTGTTATTGGAGATGTAAGGCTCCTGGGATACAGGAAATGGCTATTTAAGATATTTTTCTATTTACCTATGAAAGCTATTTTATGGCATTCTAACGCTGACTTTGTGTTCTGAGCATACAATCAACAAACTAATGTAAAGAATCAAAGGGCCCTGCCCCTTCAAAAGGTCGTCAGTGAAGTTCAGTTTAAACTAATGTGCAACACAAGGGCGTAGGTTTGATTTCAACTTTGGTAGGGACACTATTCTTCAGTTTCATTGGTCCTTTGCAAAAAATATGCATGCTCTTTTTTATGCTTAATGTGAGCTTCAGGGCTCATTTTGTTAAAAGAGAACAGCAGCATTTCTTGCTACATTAATACAAATCTTATAAGCACTACATGCACTAGATGCTGTTTATCAATATTTAAAGCATCACTGGCTCTGATGAATGTGGAATTAGGACTTTTTCCACTTTGAAAAGGATTGCATTTAAATTTACCTGCTACTAAGACAGTGTCTGTTTAACCAAATATAGTCTAAATATGTGGATTTATCCTGTGTTTTCTTCTGAAGATATAGAATTGTGCAGAGGTAAACCCCACTCTTATTTTTTTTTATCTAATATGCTCTCTCTGGATCATGCAAAATAATACATTCAAGGGACAGCAAATAAATGTATTGTATTTACATGTGCACTGGAACTAGAAGAGGAACTGACACTGAGCATTTAAAATATTAATATTAGAAGTTGTAAATCTGGGCTGTAGTTACTCTGTGGAGCTAATTTCATGTATTTTATCTATGGCTGAAACAATTAATCACATTAACAAATTATTTAAATAATCGTGAACTAATTTAGTAATTGATTAATCGTTAACTGGAATATAGGGCCACTAAAATGTGCCTTTAGGCGACAGTGGCGTTGGATGTGGGAGTTTGCCCTGTAATCGAAGGGTTGACGGTTCAAGCCCCGACTCCGACTTTCATTGTTGTTGTGTCCTTGGGCAAGACACTTCACCTGCATTGTCTACTGATGGTGGTCAGAGGGCCCGGTGGCGCCAGTGTAAGGCAGCCTCGCTTCTGTCAGTGAGCCCCAGGGCAGCTGTGGCTACAATGTAGCTTGCCACCATCAGTGTGTGAGTGTGTGTGTGAATGGGTGAATGAATGTAGTGTAAAGCGCTTTGGTCAGGTCTCCTAACCTGAATAAAGGCGCTATATAAGTACATGCCATTTACCATTTACCATTTAGCCGACAGAGTGACCCACTTAGAGCAGGAATTATACCAAGATTGTAAAAAAATATGTAAACATTTAGCATTTAAGAAGTAAAAAAAAAAAAAAAAAGTTTTTGTCTGTCAATATTCTCCATCCAGAACTCCTCCAAAGGAAACGTTTAAACGTTTCTTTTTCACCTGGTTTCATTTCATAAAAGATCTTCTTTAAGGAGCCTTTGGCTATCTGATTAAAAGATAAAATAAAAGTAATCCTAACGTTGTTAACTTACATTTCTCAAGTTCCACAAATTAAAAAACTCTCTCCTGCTTCTTTACAGAACTCCAATCAGAAGCTTTCGCCTGATTTAGCGTAGATATTAATATATTTTTTTAAAATTCGGACTAGTTTCATAGCCCAATATTAATTTATTTTAGTGTCTTTTTTTTCGTGCTCCAAGCACCCGCGCGCGCGCACATACAGACTAGAAAACACGCAATCAGAAAGAGAGAAGGCAGAACTTAAGGCAGAATAATCAGAGTTAAACCGCGCAGCACAGTTGATGCGCTGCTATGTGAAAGGGACAGGAAAGAGCAGGCAGCTGCAGCTACCAGGCAGAGAAGCTGCAGAGGAAAAGAAGCGGCTGCTGTATACTAAATTATAAACATGTTGTTTACATTCAATTATTGGTAGGGACAAATAGGTCCTTCCAAAATTTTGGTAGGGACATGTCCCTATGGTCCCTATGCAAACCTACGCCCATGGTGCAACAATTGCAGTGTTTCAGTTTAGAATCACAGAATAATTTAAAATCTGTAATCATACGTTCAGCTTCTCAAGGTCTGATATGTTGTTTTTATAAAAAAAAAAAAAAGTGGTGATCATTGTCTTATAGAAGCACATTGAAAATGAAGCTGTATTTTTCTGCCCTTATTAACACGTTTTGGCTGAATAGACATGGATAATGAGCCCCGGTAATGCATGGCAGGTGAAGATGAGTAAAAAGCCTTACAATTATTTCTTTATAAAGTAAGCAAATCCGTATATGTATTTATATGTAGTTATTTTTTAATCATACATCCACCACAACATTTTTATACGATTCCTGTGATGTTAACTTACCTTAAATCTTTTTTGTAATTTTCAGATTTTTTTTAGGTTTGCCAGAGTGATAAATATCAATGAGTAATGATCCCTCCATAAACCTGCACATATCTAGAGTCAGACCATTAAGCAAATATTCTGAAACATCTTGAACTGTCGCAAACAAGACTGGATATGGACCCATTTTTTATATAGCCTATGAGCAGGGTGCTAATTGAGGAGCAATACAATATCAAAACATCTGTGAAGTTCAGCAAAATATGAGGTTTTGCCAAATCTCCATGTGAACATTGTATTTGCACGCTCTATGTATTTAAGACGCCAACTTTGTAGAGAGGTGATAAAAGAGCTAAATTTGTATTTACAAAACATTCTAAATGCTTTTAAGTTATGTTATATCGGGCCACTGTAACTTTAATGAATACATTTTACCCAGCTTTAATTATTCAAATAACTAATTACGGTATTTGAATAATTAAAGCTGTCACTGCAAAACGGTTGGTGCAAAACAGAAAACATGCAAAGATAAAATCTTGTTGCTAATTTTTTGGGTTGACCGTCCTTAACCCTGCAAAATAGAAAAAAAAGATCCTGATTTTGTTTGAATCCATACAGCAAGGAAAATAATGGAATCCCTAGACAGAGAACATAGGGTTTTTAATCTCCGCTAATACTCCTTTCATAATAAGATTGCAAAAAATAAATAAATAAATAAATAAAAATAAGCAGATAAAAACAGCTCTTAACATTTTGATTTGACAGGGCACTCTTGTCATTTTGGTATCCTTTGTAGCATTCTGGCCTTAGTACATAACACATCATATTCCTCACAACTTTTAAACCTACCAGTGGAACAAGAATCAAATATGTATTGTTCGAATTTTGCATTATCCACTAAATTAGGGGGGAGGAGTGTCTTACATGTCTTCATTTAGCTCATTCAGGTGTATTGATCTCTGTGAAAACAAAAGCAAAGCGAGCAGCAGTTCAGCTGGGGATGAAAATAAGCTGCAGAAAGGGGAATTATAAACCGATAAGCCTCCGTGATTTGTAATACAATTTACGGCCGTAATCTTCCTGCTGCCGTAGTGTCCCCTGTATTCTCTAATCCAGGCCTGTAATATTCCTGCTGCTGCTGATGTCATGACCTTGCAAAGCAAGTAGTGAACAGACAAACTCTACCTTAACCAAGTATCCATGCCTGAAGCATGAACAGTAACTTGAAATGTTATTCTTCGTTCATTTTTTAAAGTTCTATGAGTTTGATGTATTCTTTCATAAGGTGGTTGTTTGCTGAGGATTTTAAAGGGTTTCATTTTTTTTCAAAATGCACACTCACAAGCAGAAAACAAACACCATCAGCTTTAAAGCACTGACAATATGTTTGTGTTATGCATCCGCTGTATTTCTACACTTCAAAAACACGAAGCATATTTTCTAGACACGTGAAAACTGAATTCATCCTGTTGCACATTATTAGTTTAAACTAACTATAGTTGAAAGGAAAAAGCTATGCTTTTATGGAGTGGGAGAGATGGACTTAAACTGAAACCTGTTTTCTTCTTTAATATGTATTCTGAGTGATAATCTCTATTGGCTGAAAGTGTAACCTGACTGACTGCTTTTCTTTATTTCTTTCTTACTTATTTCCTTCTCCCACCAATGCAGGACAGAGACCTACGACCCGAGGAAATGGAAGGTACAGAAATATTAATAGAACCACTGTCAAACCTAAAGATCTAAACAAAAACAAAAAAACTTTGCCTTTTTTTTCTTCATCAATGCAAAACATAATGAACAAATTTTACATTTAAAGGAATGTATGGTTGTTTTTTTTCAGTTAAAAGTATTTGTGCATTCATTTTAATTATTGAATTTCATTCAGTCTTTCCCACTGGGTTTGTACTTAGAACTATGAGTATTGTGATAAAAAAATATATATATATCATTTTTGTTATAAAATTAGGAATTGTGAGAAACTGAAATGGTATGAACCAAAATGCAAAGCTTTGTATTTATTGCTCTAATTAATATAAAGCTGTCTTTTTAACTTCTTATAATTACTCAGTTGCAAAGCTTGGTTTCTTATCTGGAGGGAAGTTTACGAGCAATTAGTCCAATCAAACATATTAAATAACTAATTATATATATAGTTTAATGTTTTCTTGTATAAAACTTTAGAAATCCCTCTTATATCACAAATATAGTATTAATTTCAAAAACATTACACCTTTTCAGGTGTAATGTGTGTATTTTAGATGATGATCAAATACAGTCTTGATTTTAGTTTTTATTAGTTCTTTGATTGGACGTGGAATGGAACCTTCAAATAATAGGAATTTTAATGTCACGTGCAGCTAACGGATGTATACAGTCATGGAAAATAATGATTGGAGGACCTTTGTCATCTAACAATTGTAATGCCGTGAAATAACTACTTGTGTGCAAAATGTTACTAAAAAAGAAAAGAAATCATGTGTTCGATATTAAAATGAACAACGTAATGAGAAATATGGTGGTTTGCCCATATCTCAAACCATCATTGGGACTCCTACATGTCTTTTTATATAAGATGCTAAATAATTGCATAACTCAGTAGGATCAAATAGCAAATTAAAGCTGACTTGTTATAAATCTTATCTTCATTGAGAGAAAGAGAGAGATTAGTTTCTTCACTGTAGGGCTAAACATTAGAATTTTGTCACCCATCCAACATATTAACTGGAAGGTCTTATAAAGTGATGAATTGACGCGGTCCCCGTGAAGGATTAAGGCATCCTTACATGAGTCGTGCACGCTAACCACTGCGCCACCTGCACGCCCCAAAGTGATGAAAATTAAATGCTCAAAAACCTTGGGCATAAAAACATATGTTATGTGTAGGTTATTCATTTCTGTTCAGGTGATACTATTTGTATTTTTAAAGGTACATTATCTGCAGCAACAATTATTTTGTTTCACCAGCAGGTTCTCAGCAGCCAGCAAATACTGGCTGCTGTAAAGAACCCTTTCACCCTTCTGTTGCTGAAATCTTGCTTTATTGACAGAACTGCGTGAGGCCTTCAAGGAGTTTGACAAAGACAAAGATGGATTCATTAGCTATAAGGACCTGGGAGAGTGCATGAGGACTATGGGATACATGCCAACTGAAATGGAACTGATAGAGCTCAGCCAGCAGATCTGTAAGTCCTCCAAACACCTAGAAAATGTATTTATTATAGGTATAGTATTGCAGAGGCAATTGGTCCTTGCTGCAGCATGTCTACTGGATGTCAGCCCACCACCATGCTTAGCTACACACACACAAAGTCAAAAAGTATCCATAAAAACATCCACCAGAAGGTTACACAGAGGTAGACATACTGACATGTTGAGACATCACATGGTATCCCGGTTTGTTGCAGCCTTTGAACACAAAGTGAAAAAACGTTTTCAATTCATTTGAAACATTTTGTGCCAAAGAAACAAAAACAACATATTTTCTTTTACAGGTGGTGGCAGAGTGGACTTTGAGGACTTTGTGGAATTGATGGGTCCCAAAATGCTTGCTGAGACTGCAGATATGATTGGAGTAAAAGAGTTAAGAGATGCCTTCAGAGAGGTTAGCAGCAGCAGGTTATTAAAATGTATAGCAATATTTTTGTCCATGACATTTTATACCATATCTATTTTGTCTTTAAGTTTGACTCTGACGGTGACGGTCAGATTAGCCTCGGGGAACTAAGGGAAGCAATGAAGAAACTAATGGGAGAACAGCTTAACCACAGGGAGATTGATGAGATTCTAAGAGACGTAGACCTCAATGGAGATGGAGAGGTGGACTTTGAAGGTGAGTAAGTATCAAGCTTAAAAAAGCAATAAAAATCCCTAAGTAATTCTGCAACACTTCAAAGAGATGTCACCAACTAGGTCAGAGAGTCAAATTAAACATTCTGAAGCGTGAGCATCACAACAATATGTTATGCTTCATACATCATTCATAATGTAAGGCAGATCTTTGGACTCTCAGCCCAATATGGTCAGGCTAGTACAGGAAAACAGGTGGATAGGACAGATGCATCACTACATTGATTAATCTTCTCCTGACACTGAAGAACACTGGAAATAATATCTTCATGCTCATACACAGGCACCCTTCAAAACAAGCATGGATTAAAATCTATGTACTGACATGGGAGCAATTGATGTTTTATGATATTCTCTTAATTTCTTCACATTAAGAAATGCTAGATGTGTTTTTAGATATGGATGGAAGTATGGATGGATGGAAGTATGGATGGATGGAAAGATGGATGGATAGATGGAAAGATGGATGGATAGATGGAAAGATGGATGGATAGATGGACACAGGTGGGATGTAAGGAATAAAACTAGATACTTTTCAGATTTTTTAAAGAAAATTAAAAGAAGCTAAATCTACAATAAAACAACCCTTCTCAGCTAATCCATTATGCAAGCACTCGCTGCTGCATCCTTGGTCAATACAATCGGGTGAAAGTTTGTCAGAACTTTACTATGCCACCCTGATTAAGTAAAATAACACAATATTTTATCTCCCACAGAATTTGTGCGCATGATGTCTCGCTGAAGACTCTTTCTACTGCACTAAAACCAACATGGACCAGACTGTGTACTGTTAAGTCTTTTCATATGTACAACAAATTCTTGGTCTTTGTGATTTTTCACTTACCTCTCAGGTAGATCCACTAGTTTTTTTCCATTATAAAAATGTATTATGTGCATAAAAATGATATATTTATGACTTCAAATCATATAAAAAATATAAAAATGTGAAGATATGTAAATATTTCAAGCAATTACACTACCACTTTGCAATAAGGCTCCCCTTATAGATGGCTGATAGTTTATAGATATTTTATTATTTAATCTCTAAAAACTTTAATACTCATTCATAAGTGTTTATTATGAATTTAACATATCATACATGCTAAACAATTTAGTTTGACAAAAGCTTATTGTGCTTACAAGGTAGTAACTTAGTTTGAAATGTTGAAAATAAACACTAGATGAAATACTATATATAACAGATCCATTATTACTAACCTTCTATAAAAGGAACCTTATTGTAAAGTGCTACAGTACCATCATTTTATTTAAAAGTGAAAATGTGAAAACAAATATTAATCAACTGGCATTGAAAGTCAGTTTAGACATTATATATTTTTTGTTTATTTTTGCAATTTGCCTGGTGCAGCTGTGTACATTTTCAGAAATATTTAACATTAATTTATAGACAAATGTTTAATAAAACATGGAACGTCATGTTGATATCAATAAATGATAACCCAATTGTTGTGTGCCTGTTGCGTATGATGTCATCACTAAAGCAATCAAGTTGTTTCAGAGAACAAATGCACTTTTATGCAGACACCTACATTGGTATTTTTTTTAATAATATTACTTTTACATTATTCTTACAATATTTTGAACTTTCTAACTCTGCATCTACATAAAACTTAAAGTTGCATAATGGTTTGAAATGTCATTTTTAAATCAGTTGAGTAATTCTAGTAATAATTTCTGAATTCTGTCAAAAAAATCTCTTTTAAGAAATAAAATTCTTTAAGGCATCCTGTTGCTCATCTAAACTTTATCAGTTGTTTAGTCATATACTTTTATTAAAAACATTTCTAAATTATTTTTGGGGAAAAAAACACATAACCACAAAGTTCAAATGTGCAAAAGAATACAAGGATAAGTTTCTTTCCAGATTTGTTTATAAATTCCATGTACAAAATAAAACAGAAAATACTAAACTAAAACCATTAGAAAAGCTAAACAATGCTTATAAATAATCCCCAATGGCTTTAGACAACGGCTTTAGACAATGCTGTAAAAATTATGTAAATGTTAGAATATAGAAAGAATATGACTTATTACTTGGTTTATCTAGTCAAAATGTGCCAGTACTGTAAATGTACTATGTTGATTTAAAAAAATAAACATTATTTTTAATGTATTTTCCACTTAAAGAGTTAACCTATTCTGACGGTTGGAAATTAATAATTTATTATTACTATCAAAGGCTTACTATGACAACTTTTTTCCTAAACTTACACTGGATGTAACTTCAGATCACAACAGAGTTCTCCACAAATCCCAGTGAAACCAATCTAAAACAATTTGATCCAAACAGATACCCTTTTAAGAACTTAAGAATTCCCAGTATCAAATTTATGGTGGTCCTCTTCTGTTTGACTGATTTTAAGATTGGGCAAGGCAAGCTTGTTTGTAATGCATATTTCAGCAACAAGATATTTAGTTCTGAGCTGCAGAAAATCTAGTTAGACTAGATTTTCTGCAGCTCAGATATAATTTTGACCTCAATTGAAAATAACTAACCGGATCCAGCATATTTGCACTTTTCTGGAAGTTTGTTTTAGATTTGTGAAGACAAAACAGAATGCCACTTCTGTTTGGTTGTGGCTCTTAGAAACTTATAATTTCAATGATGTCCTTAAAAAAACCTTGGTTGTGATGTTTGCTATCTTACAGAAAATTGCAAACACAATCAATACTGCAGCAGAACCAAAGGTAAATTCCTAGATAATAGAACAAATTAACAAATAAATACAATATCCATTACCTATAACAATATAGGTATAATCAAATACAATAATAACATACAACTGTCAAACGTACTTAGAGAACCGAGCTGTGAGTTCCAGGTCAGGTTGGGTTTCAGAGGTTACAAGCTGACTTTTCTTTTATATTTGTATGATTTTCTTTTTCTGTTCACTTTGGGTGACGTGAAGCACTTTGAGTTATTTTTTTTTTTATGAGCTTAACAAATTCAATGCACTGTCCAAGCTTTATAGAGATTTCCAGATGTGTTCTATCCTCTTTGCGAAATCCATCAGATCATCCCTCTCGGGGCACTTTTTTAGGTCTTTTAGCAGTTGACTTTTCAAAGCCTGTGCAGTCTCACTGTAGTCAGTGCTGTAAGCAGCCATTGGAGGTGTCCCTTTCCAAGCTGAAGGAAGGTACCAGCTCCAGGTGTATGGATCAAACTCTACCAGATCAGCAAGCTTTCTTGCGTTTATCTCAGCATCCCTCTGGATCAGTACATTGAGCCGATCTAACAACTCCTTATCTCTCTTCTTTCCCTCAGAAACAGAGACTTCATTAATGTCAACCTGAACAAAGTGGCACAATGTTTTCTTGTCTGCAACTTTTACCCTTGCCAGAACATTAACTACCATCCTTAAGAAGTCCTTGTCTGTGGAGCTTTCCTTGGAAAAAGTCACTACTGTAATGTCGCTTAATGCCACAGCAAGACTCGCAACTTCTTTGTCACGTTCGTGGCTATGGTCGTCCTGAATCATCTGATGTGCCTTCAGTCCCTCAGTGTCGATTATCATAATGCAGTCACAGCCTATCTCCCTCTTTACACGTTTGCTGACGGTGATCAGCTGCATAAATGCCCCCCTAGTGCACATTCCTCTGTTGATGGAAAACCTGGTCCCAAACATGGCATTGAGCAGAGTTGATTTTCCTGAATTTTCTTCACCAATGACTGAAATAACTTTGACCCTGCTGTTTGACTGTATAAGGTGGTGAAGTTCAGCAAGGACAGCTCTCATCCACGTCATTGGAATGTTTCCTGCATCCCCATCAACAAGCTCAAAAGGGAAACTATCTAGCATCAACTGAGCAAAATAATAGGGCAGCTGTTCCAACCTCTTCCTTAGATTGCTAAATTCTGGTACACCATTTGCACATGTATACCTCTGCCCACATTCTCGAAAAAAATGTTGCATTCCTAAAGAGCAAATAGAAATTTGCTGCTCCACATCTGCTATTATATCTTTTTCTTTTGGAGACTCATGTTTTAGTCTCTTGTATTGATCCAGCAGAGCTGACAGCTGCTGTCGAGAAAAATCCTCCAGTGTCATTTCCATCCATTTGAGGAAAAAAGAACAGTGAGCTTCAGAGGCACTGATACCTTTAACAAAGTTTGATATCATAGGTGTCATCTCAAACCTGTGTTGCTTCTTTTTGAACTCTTTTTCTTTTGCTTCCAAAGACTTACGGTAATCCTCAGTTTTCAGTTTGCCAACTTTGCGTAATCTACAGTGCTCCATTTGCACCCCTGATATTGCTTTCCAGATGTTTCCCTGACATGGCAGTTCTTGTTCTTTGAACTCAGGTATTTTATCAATACATGAAGTGATGAGTCTGGAATTCCTCAGCCCAGTTTTGCATTCATCTGTGTCTTCATCCACAAGGATCTCACAACTCCGAGCTCTTTCAGCCAGATTTTCCAGGGAGACTTTTTTTGTTTTATTCTCGAGTATTCTAGAAACTGATTCCTGAAGGGCTCTTGCTAACTCTTTTTCAGTTCTTTTTGTTTCACTTATATTTTTTGTTTTTATGCTTGGCTTGATGGTCATATATTTTAATCTAAAGGATTTCCCCTTTTTGCTGCTAATCAAAATAATTTTTGCTCTGACATCTTTTACTTGCACAGTTTTGAGGTACTCAACCTCTGCTTCATCACAGAAGATGTAAACAACGGCAGATGACTGACAAAGGAAAGTGAACTGCTTAACAAAGGTCCTGATATCACCTCTCAGGTTGGCAACAGCTATTGGTTCATTGAATTTATCAACAGAACGGATGCCACAAGGAAGGTACCAGGAGAAATCGACAAGCCCCTCTGATATTCTTCTTGGCACATCTCCACACTCCAAACCAGAATGATAAAATATGTCATGGTACTGCTCAGTGTTACTTAGCACTTGGTTTAGCATCTGTGACTTAGAAAGGAAATGCTTCCCCAATCTGACAAATGATATAAGAGCAATTTCAGACTGCACAAGTCTTTCTTCAGTGCTTGACCCTCGGAATGCTTGCATCAATGGTTTGAAGGTTCGGACAACTTCACGCATAGACCACAGCATCATTGTCAGTTCTCTTGTTTCACTGTCAGGCAGCAGGAGTGGGACAGCAAACTGACAAAGAACCATTTTCTCAATAATCTTCTGCTGTAGGAATTTGTCTGAACACAGAAACAGTGCAGTTATCAAATCTAGCGGATTTATGACATTTTTCTTGTCCACATCCGAATCACTGAACATATATTTCACACTTCTTGCATTTGTGTTCCCCATAAAAAGCCTCTTGAGAAAGGCCTCATGAAGGGATTCTGCTGTTTCCATATCGATCTCTGTGTCACTCCGAGTAATTTTCAGGATGTTGCATATTTTAAGTTTGATGTCATAATGCTCTTCAAGTCCCATTATTGACAAAACCTCTCTGAGGCACAGCTCTGTAAAACAAGAGAAAATCGATATATCATATATTCGCACCATCTAAAAAGCATTTAACTAAGTGTTTTTCTATTGGTATACAACAAAATACTTTTTATGAAGATAATTCTAAACCTGTTTTGGCTTTGGTTCAATAAGGACACAAACCTTTTAAAACACGAATAGTGATTAGAAGCAAAAAATACTTTTTAAATATTTTAAACCTTTTTCTTATACCTAATATTAGACATATTAAATTCCTATAATTAATTGTATAATTCTTGCATTAAGTAATAAGTTTATTAAGGATTGTTGATGTTTGTTAACTTTACTTACAGCCAAACATCTTTTTGGAATATTTTACATATAATATGAATGAAAGTAAGCTAGATGTTAAAGTATTCCCGAGTAATATACTTGGTTTTTCTTTTTCCTGAGTTGTATTATGAATATTTGTCTATTTCAAACAATGACCCTTTAGTTTTTTGTTTATCCATCAGAGTTTCTTTAATAAGGCCGTCAAACGCTTTTACCAACCAAAGTCTTTAGGTGGTAGGATCAAATATACCGGTTTAAACCCTGTCTTGTGTGATACACTGTCTTGCAAAAGCAATCATCCTTTTTAAAAATGTGTCATATCGTAAATGCAAAGTTTAATCAATTTTTTTTTCTGTAATTAACTAAGATAAAAGAAAAGAAGGATGTATACAGGTTTCAAAAATGCTTTTCATGAACAAATTGTCTTTAAAATGTGGCATGCATTTGTAATCAACCCCAAAAGCAATCAATGTCCTCATTAAGTTACTGTTCAATCCATCATCTGTCAAAGGAAGGAGAACTGTGATCCCAAGTAAACACTGTTATCTACCCGAACTGATCCCTCTGTTTTCAAAAGTGATGGAATTAGATCAACTAGTTCAGGTGAGAGGATCTATCAGCAGGGCATCTAATAGTTGTCTCTGGTCAGATGGAACAAAAATGTAAGTTCTTGGCCTGAACGTGAGATGCAAGATGTGGCATAAATTGTAATGGTGAAATATGGTGGATGCAGGTAACTTTGCATGCAAGCTGAATTCTGGCTGGATTTCCTCAATCAGATTCAATCAGAGGAGTTCCAGGTCAGTAATGTATGGAGTGTAATCTGCTACACATTATCAGTCTAACTTGCCAGGTTAGATGCTAGGATCAAATTGTGGAAATTTTTATGTTTCAGCAGGGACAGAAAAGCTAATCACAGCTTTAAGCTCTAGTTTGTTGTTTGACTGATATTTTAAACTTCTGATGGGAATGGCTGCAAGGTTAATGTAGACGTAAATCAAAACTACAGAAAAAGACAATTCTACACAGCATTGTTTGTGTCGTGGTAAATATAGAATGCACAGCACACTTTTCACACTCCTAGTTTTAAGTTAAAGCATTTATTTCCCTCTATCTATTCACGTCCTTAATTTGTTTTTGTTGCTCAATTGCATATAATCCCAGTAACTGAAGTTTGTTGTAAATCAGAAGTATTTTAAAGGGTTGAATACTTTTACTACTTATTGAACGGTATATAAAATGGTATGTATAGACCAGTGGGCAGTCTCAGGACTGTGTCTAAATGCTAAAGATAATATAAATTCAGCAGTGTGCAGACTGATATGCTGTACTCCGTGTCTGGTTCTAAGTCAGATAAAGTCTTTTGGCAGCTTTTTGTGCAAATGACAAAAGGTTTTTTAGCTGGACTTTTGACAGTAATCAGGAATTGATGTGGGATTCCCTCCATGTTTTCTCCTTGGGTCCAAGTTAAAGACAGGGTTGTGGACTCTGAATGATCTTTAAACAGATGTCGGGGAGGTGGCACAGCTGCAAAAAATGTGTTAAAACAATCATTATTGGAACTTAAAAATGAACCCAATGAAAATAGATTTGGCTTCTGTATTTTTACCTGTCACAACACTTTCTTTTACCCATCTGCTTAAATTGCCATCCTCATCCTCTGTGGCCACACTGAAGAAATACCGCTCTCCAAGTTGAAGATCATTTATTTCCACTGTATTCAAATCTTTGATGACTAAGGAACCTACTGCTTCTGTTAATGAGCTCCATTTAACTCTGAACTTCTCAGTTCCTTTCAGCTCCTTCGGGAATCCCCAAGTCAACACCACAGAGTTTGTTCCAACTTTCAGGAACTGGATGTTACCAGGAGGGGGCACTGCTGACCAACAAAAAAAAAAATAATAAAATAGATGTAACGCTACACAACTATACACTGTGAATTCTTATATTATAAAACAAGATTGTCGAAAAAGAAACCAGTTTGAAACAAAACTGTGCATCCATCTACAGACCAGTGTTTGTAAAACATTTTAGGATTTTGTTTTCAGTGTTCGATCTAAAGTATGAAAATTGTGTGCATTTTGTGGCACTAATTAAATAGACTTGTGAATGTGTTAATTCCATGAAAGCAGTAATTCCATTATCACCAACAGCACACAGTATCTTCTTTTAATCAGAAGTCAGATTTGAAAGTATGACGTGATTTAATAGCAGGTGTTTCATAGGTCGGGATAAAGGTCAGTCACAGTAAAATAACCAAACAAGTAATAAAATCATATTTATTAAACCAACAATAACATTGAAGTAACAATATTACATCAAGGACCATTATTTCCTTTTATCTTAATTATAGTGTTTGGTATTAATTAAATCGGCTATATTTGACTATATTCAAAGCTATTTTTTTATTTAAACTGTGATTGGTAAAATGCCAAACAAAAGATAGTTATTAACCTGAGTCATGCTGCCCAGAGTCCTCACCAACATCCACCTGTAAGAAAATATTTTTCATTAAGCACACTTCACAACATTCTCACAGTTATTATCTCAGGCTTACCTGACGCATGGTCCTTGGTGAAAGTATGTCATGTTTCTTGTGGTATCCCTCCACACAAATGCTGCAAATATGCATCTGATCAGTTCTGCAATAAAAATCTTTAGATTTCTGATGCTGGCAGCATCTTCCATGGGCCTCATTGCCGATGTCTTTCAGAATGTGTTTTTGCATATCTTTGCTACAGTATGTTGAAGGGCATCAGGCTCGCAGAACAAGTCGTTGCATGTCAGGCAGATCCTCACAGCAGCATTTTCTTGGCACAGGTCACAAATCACCCCATCTTTACTAATAAGAGAAATTGAGGAACAATTATTTACAAAGTTATAAAACAAAAATATATTAAGAATATATTTGTCTATTATAAACATCCAAGAAATGATTTCTTCTAAGCTAATACAAAAAAGTATATAGTATAGACTATACAAGATCTGAAAAAGGCCTTTTATGACATTCAGAACAGATAAAGCGCCGTCATCAGTTATAGGGAGCATTTTTAACATTAAGAACATGTCAGAGTACAGAAATATGCCAGTAGGTTCTACATGTAGCATAGATTTCAACAGTCCAAAGAAGAAAACATCACACCGGTCATTTATCCATAGGTTACATGCTATTATTGTGCTAGCAGCACAACCTGTGTTTTTTCTTTTTTTAATCATTTATTATTTTATTTTATGATTTATCATATTAATCATAGCATGTAATCATTTAGAGATTTCAAAATGACAATATCTCAAACAACTTAGAAATTACACGAAACAATACAATTTTAAAGGATATAAAAAGGATTGAAATTTTCAATCTTTCAGTTTAACATCATCAACATGATTTTGCCCTGAATTTTAAGAGAGAACGTTTACCCATCATAGGAATCCTTAGATATAAGCGATGAATATTCCGAGGTCTCAGAAGAAGATATGGACTCAACTATCTCTGGATAGTCCAATTTCGGACTGATGGCACAAAAACAGGAAAAGCATGTATTAGTCCTTTATTGTTTTATTTTCCATTTAGATTATACAAGATTAAGCTATAAACACACGGTTGATAGATGTTTACATTTTCATTTATTATGATTTTTTTCCCCACATATTATATCATCTATTTGAACATGTAGATCATTGAAATGCATGCTCATCAACTTTCAATTTGTTCTTAAATTGCTGACTTTTGCAAATTGCCCTTTTAACAGCACAATTCAACTTGCTGGTAAAATATTTTTCTCTATTATGTACTCTTTTGACCAGATTTTATATGCCCAAGATTTTGTCTAAATTGTGTTTTTTGTAATGAGTAAACACATATCAGATATTGGAAAAATACTTCACACAATCAGATAATAGATGACATTTTTTGATGATGATAGCGTTTTATAAGTTTGTTCATTTAAAGTATTTTACCTTTGGAAAGTAGTATCATGATGGGCTATGTTAGCAGTTTTTTGATGATATACAGCAGATGGAAGATTAGGTACTTGAAATCTAGAAGCCAAAATACATAGTTTAGAGCACTTTTTTACAAAGAGTAATTGTACCTGAGTTGATCAGAAATAAATATAAACCTTATACTTTAAACATACCTGGAAGGATCAGTGTTATGTGATACAATTCCACTTTTTCCCCAGTGTTTCGGGATGCCTCGTGATATTTCTCTGCATCGCACAAAGACAATATAAAACTGTTCAGCCAAAATAATTACTAAAAACCAGGGTATTGAAATAAAGAATTTTATAAAATAAAGTTTTTGCTTACATTTTGTTTGAAAAATAAAGAGGGTTCTCCCTTGACAACTCTGACTCTGTCTCATATTGAGAATAGTCAACATCTGGTTTCACAGATCTGAAAATATTAAGTAAAGTGTAACTTTTTCATCATCAAAGGAGAAAAAATTGAAGTTGCTCCAACAAGATTCCAATTTCGAAGAGAAGACAAGCAAGCTATGTTGATTTTAGGTGAAATATTGTACAAAGGGAAATATTTTTATAGTCTTTATCTGAGTTGATCATCATACATAGGTTGTCATGCATAAATCTGGTATGAAAATATATGTTGTCTTTAAGAAAATGAGGAGGAGGAAAAAGAAAATAAGAGACATCATACTGCAGCCTGCCACATGTCTGGGAGAGGGAGCTAATGCTGTCTCAGACAGCATTATTAATGACATTGATCAAATATTAGACCAAAATTTGTTTTTTTTCTCTACTCAAATGACTTAGGGGCTGCTCAATGGGCGCAATTGGTAGCACTGCTGCCTTGCAGCAAGAAGGTTCTGGGTTCAATACATGGGGTCTTTGTGCATGTAGTTTGCATGTTCTCCCTGAGCATGTGTGGGCTCTCTCTGGGTACTCCAGCTTCCTCCCACTGTCCAAAAACATGACTGGTAGGTTAATTGGCTTCACAAAATTCTCTTAGGTGTGATTGTGTGTATGAATGGTTGTATGTCCTGTTTGTCTCTGTGTTGCCCTGCGATGGACTGATAACCTGTGTACCCCGCCTCTCGCCAATAAACAGCTGGAGATATGTTTGGTTCTAGTTCTGGGTGCACAGAGTAGGCTTGAACTAGAATACCTCAGTGGTCTGGGAGGTTGATAAACTGACCATGAATCTGTTTTGTATTGAGGTGCTGATCCATTCAATGATTTACGTCCTGGACTATTGTTTGAGCTACAGGGAACCAGTGTAAGGACTTAAGAACCGGGCTGATGTGCTCTACTTTCTTAGGTCTAGTGACAACACAGGGAGCAGTCTTTTGGATCAGCTGCAGCTGTTTGATTAACTTTTTAGGCAAACCTATTAAAACACTTTCGCAGTAATCAGTAAAAAAAAAATGCAATGAAGAGTTTTCTAGATCCTGCTTGGACATTAGACCTTTAGTCCTAATGCTGTTCTTCAGGTGACTAAAGGCTGAATTAGTAACTGCCTTTATGTTCCTATGAAGATTTAGGTCTGACTCCATCATGAAACCAATATTTTAGCCATAAACAATGGTTTCTAGCTGTAGTAGCTGAAGTTGATAACTAACTCTGGATCTCTCCTTCTTTGGTCAGAAGATTATTACATCAGTTTTGTTTTTATTCAGTTGTAGAAAATGATGGTGCATCCACATATTGATCTGTTCTAAGCATCTTACCAATGCTCTGATGGGTTCATAGTCACTAGATGACATTGTTATGTAAAGCTGTGTCTTCTGCATAGTTATGGTAACTGACCTGGTTTTTTGCTATCATTTGAGCTAAGGGGAGCATGTAGATATTAAACTGGAGGGGCACAGGAATGGAGCCTTGAGAAACCCTTGCATGATTTTCTGGTCTCTGATTTAAAGTTGCCTACTGACACACAGAAGTCCCTGTCCAGACACTTTAATAAAATCGAGTGATCGACAGTATCAAAACGCTACACTGAGGTCCAATACTGTGTTTCTTCCAGAGTCTGAATTTAGATGGACGTCACTGAACACCTTAATCAGGTCAGTCTCTGTACTGTGGTTGGCATGAATACTTGACTGAAAAGTAGCTTCGCATCGTCTCATTGTTAAGAAGGCATTTAACTGTTGAAACAAAACTTTTTTGATAATCTTACTGATGAAGGGGAAGTTTGAAATTGGCCTGTAGTTCTGAAGCACCAATTTGTCCAAGTTTTTCCTTTTGAACGATGGTTAGATAATTGCTGTTTTTAAGGCTCGAGGGGGAAATACCTGACATTTATTATTTGAACCAGATCAGACTATAAAGCAGGCAAAAACTTCTTAATAAAACCTGTGAGTAAAACATCAAGGCAGCAGGAGGAGGAGCTTTGCTGCTGCACTTGATACTGATGTGCAAACTGCTTTTCTTATCTTATACCTTGTATTTTTTCAGTAAAGAATCATTGCAGGTTTCTTTTAAATTTGAGTTCATTGCCACAGAGATAGGAGGATTTGTTTAATTGACTGTAGCAAATAAGGCATTAGCATTATGAATGGTTTTGTTGATAATCGCAGAGTAGATAGATTTTCTTGCATATTTTAGTTATAAATTGACTAAATTGACTAAATTGACGGTGAAGTCTCTCTTTATAGATTTCATAGTGGACTTGGAGTGCATTCTTTCGCCACCTTCGTCAGGCTTTTCAGCACTCCATCTTTTCATTTCTCATTGCTGGAGCATTTCTCCATGGGGATTTCATCTTCCCAGAAGCAACTTTCACTTTAACTGGAGGAATGGAATCAATGATGAGTGCAACTTTAGAATGCAAACTATCAACCATCTTATCTACTGAGTTACAGTGATAAAGCAGACGGATAAGCCTGGGTAGAATTATCAGTTGTACTGTCCATGATAACACACATTCTTACAACATTTCTTTTTGTAATTAGATCAGTGGGAGAGATGGTTTCAGAGTAAAGATAAAATTGGTCTGATCGGGCATCATCAGTCACAGAAATATTATAAATGGTTTCTTGGTCATTTTACTGATGACCTCATCCAAAATATGTCTTAATTGTGAGTTGGCTGTTTGACATGTTAAGTCAAACCAAAATGTTTAAGTACTGTATATCACACACTTCTCTTGCAATTGTGTCTTCAGGGTTGTCAACAGGTACATTAAAGTCCACCAGAATAATTAAGTACTCATGTTCAACAAATATCAAAGATACAAGTTCAATGAAATCTCTAAAAAAGCTTGTTTTGACCTTGGAGGCCTATAAAGATTCACAAACATGGCTCAGAAAGGGCCTTGTACTTGGGCAGCCAGATATTCAAGATTCAAAGTTACCCAGGATCATGTTTCTATGCTTTAGTGAATCATTAAACAGAGTGACGAGTCCTCCTCCATTTTAAAAAAGTCTGTTCTGATCAAAAAAACTGGGAGGTGTGGTAACTGGGAGGTTTATTCTCCAATAAAATCAGAATCTCATTATTTTCATCAAGCCATATTTTGCTAAATAATAACTAAATCATGTCGATTTGGTGGCATTTCCTTGCTCATGGAAATAGTCTACAATGCTAATGGGAAATAAATACACTCAAAATGTTTGTCAGTATTTTGGTTTTAATTCCTTTATGAACATGTCTCTTTTTTCCTGTCCACTGCCTGTTTGTGATCAAATGTGTATCTTTGGGTTTGTTTTGCTTTGTATCAAATAAAAATATGAAATAGCATTCGAGTTTCACAATAATTGTAAAATTGGTTGTTCTTTTTTTATTTCTTTAAATGAATGAATACATGTACTTTTCATTTACCGTGCTTCTTTGAAGGTTACATGATGTTCATTAGAGTGTTCATACTTGGCTCTCAAAGATCCAATGGCCTCTAACACCAGTTCCTTCTGTCTGAAGTCCCTTTCACAAATACAGGACATTATTTTTGGTGACAGTTTTAATCCATAAACAACTGAGTCAACAAAAGGTTCTTAAATATTTTTGTGTTCAAAATATTCAACAAAGATTGTATCAGTCATTATTATTTTCAAAAAACATATGAGCATGAAATCAAATATCAAAGCCAAATAAAATCAATGTGTTAAAATATGTGAGCTTAAAGGTCTTACTCACTTCTTGTTTGAAAAATTAACAGGAATATCTTTTGAGCAGTCTGACTGAGTCTCACCCAGGGAATAGACCAGGCCTGGCCTTCCTGATCTGAAAAAATTACATAAAAAAAAATAATCAAACTTTAATGTCTACAGGATAAAACCTGTAAAACTTCAAAAGAGCACTGATTCTAATGTTTAATTAACAAAGATTAATCAAAATTAATGTTAGAATAAAAGATAAATTGTAATAAAAAAACTGAATAAACTGTAACCTAAATGTTTTTAAAACTAATTTTAATTTTACTCAAGCATCCTTTATCAACAAGAATGGATACAGTATAAGGTGCTTCAGTTAAAAGTTTGGTTAGTCGCTCTGATACAGTGGTTATTGTCTTTATTTATTTTAAAATCTCTGGGAACTCTTTCAGGAATATTTGCTGTCATTTGAGAAGTCAGGAGTGACGAGTCCTCCTCCATTTTAAAACAGTCTGTTCTGATTGAGAAAACTGGGAGGTGTGGTAACTGGAGGGTCATTCTCCGATAAAATCAGAATCTCATTATTTTCACCAAGCCATGTCTGTCTTAGGAACATAAAATCAATATTTTGCTGAATAGTTTAGTCATTGACTAAAAAATTATTTTCCTGACATAGGTCTGATTTTAATTAAAGCTAGTTTAAATGCCTTGGTTGATATAATCTCTCTAGTTGTTGGCCGAGCTTCACACTGTATAGTTTTCAAGGGCATATCACTAAAAAGTGATTGGAAGGTCCTGATTGCAGCACTGCTATCTTTCTTTGCATGGTGAGGAGACAGAGCTGAAGGTGGGGAAGATTTCAACATTCAGGTAGTGGTTAGCTGCAAAGACGAGGTGAGGAGTAAGTTTTGGTGGGATGGGGGGAGGTTATAAATTTTCATGTTGGGGGGACAGATTGAGCTGTAGTGTTAGACTGGATACAGGAGATGATTATGTGGAGGGCTTGTGGGGGTCCAGTTGGAGGGAGATCGTGCTGTTGGGACCACACACTGGTTTGTTGAGGTCACTGTTCTCCAAAGCGATGAAAGATGTGACATATATTTCCCCATTAGCTCATCGACCATTTTGACAAGATCAACACATGCGCAGGACAATTCATACATACCCAGTATAGCTCAAATATAAACACATGATTTGCACATGTATAGCACACAACCCCCAAATGTATTTATAGGGCATACACAAACGTATATGAACATGCTCATGGGATTAGGGTATCTGTGAATTATTGCCCACGTAGGGTAGGTTTTTGTGACTGGCTACAGCAAGGGCAATAAATGATTGGTTTCAAATTACTGCCTGCGAAAAAAAAAAATTATGTTTGTATTGAGTCAAGTGAGGAGAGTCTCAGAACTCCTCACACAAATGCAGTGACCTTCTCACAGGTCTGTGAAGGTTTTGTAGTTGTATTCTTGTTTTTTGTATTTCATTTATGGATAATGTAGAAACAAATTTGTGAACCTTGTCTTGTGCACATGTACTGTAATTCTTGTGGGAATATTTGAAAACTCTAAGCCCTGTGTGGCTCGTCCTGAGCATGTGTGTCAGGTCTTCTTAAGCTCCATATTCATGGAAACAGAACTACACTAAATCATGTCGATTTTTTGTGGCATTTTCTCGCTCATGGAAATAGTCTACAATGCTAATGGGAAATAAATACACTCAAAATGTTTGTCAATATTTTGGTTTTAATTCCTTTATGAACATGTCTCTTTTTTCCTGTCCACTGCCTGTTTGTGATCAAATGTGTATCTTTGGGTTTGTTATGCTTTGTACTGTATCATATAAAAAAAATGAAATAGCATTCGAGTTTCACAATAATTGTAAAATTGGTTGTATTGGGTGTTTGTATTTCTTTAAATGAATGAATACATGTTCTTTTCATTTACCGTGCTTCTTTGAAGGTTACATGATGTTCATTAGAGTGTTCATACTTGGCTCTCAAAGATCCAATGTCCTCTGACACCAGTTCCTTCTGTCTGAAGTCCCTTCCATAAATACAGGACATTATTATTTGGTGACAGTTTTAATCCATAAAAAACTGAGTCAACAAAAGGTTCTTAAATATTTTTTGTTTTTAAAAATATTCAACAAAGATTGTATCAGTCATTATTATTTTCAAAAAATATATGAGCATGAAATCAAATATCCAAGCCAAATAAAATGAATGTGTTAAACTAGGTGAGCTTAAAGGTCTTACTCACTTCTTGTTTGAAAAATTAACAGGAATATCTTTTGAGCAGTCTGATTGAGTCTCATCCAGGGAATAGACCAGGTCTGGCCTTCCTGATCTGAAAAAATTACATTTAAAAAATAATCAAACTTTAATGTCTACAGATAAAACCTGTAAAACTTCAAAACACCACTGATTCTGAGGTTTATTCAACAAAGATTAATCAAAATTTATGTGAGAGATAAAATTGTAATTAAAAACTGAATAAAATGTAGCCTTAATTTTGTCGAGCATGGGTGTCAGGTCTTCTTAAAGGGATAGTTCGGGATTTTTGACATGAATCTGTATGGCATCCCCATCACCAGTGTCATGCAATCACACTGACTTACCCCTGGCAGCATCCTGTGAGCAGAGTTCTCGTCCAGCTTTGGTCAAGCCGAAAGTAGTCCGGCAGGTTTGCTAGACCCAGCGAAATAAAACGTTTCTCTTCCCAAAACATTATGTGTTCAAAAGAGTGATATTTTTGCATCCCAAAAACATTGTAGTGGAAAAAGTCACACGTCGTTATCACTTGGTCCTATTTTCTCTCTGTTCGTATCAGTGCGCGCCGTCATTCTGACAGCGAGCTCAACTTTGAGGAGGGCAGGGAAGTCGCTGTTGTTTGTGATGCAGACAGCAGCTGCTGCAACTCCGACATCCTCATCAATGGAAAGGTTCTGTATCTCGGGCATTACTAAATCCCACTCGTGGCAACAGTAGCATCCACCTCTGTCTGCATTAATTTGCACTTGAAACAAGTGCACCATGATTTGTCGGCCACCCTGGATATCGCAGCTCCAGCTGAGGCTCCTGCGGCTCCGGCTTCAGCTTCCATCACTTCTCTGTCCACCCTCTCTCTTTCTGCCCGATCTAACTCCATTTGTCGAAGTTCATCGTCAGTGTACTCGGGTTCATAAAGATATCCCTTTGGCTCTAAGTGGAAGTCGATGTTTTCCTCGTCGCTCTCGTAGTCAGACATCTTCCCCAGTAGTAAACAATCGCGAATCAAACAGGTAGGCCCTTAACCTGACAACAGCCAGATGCATGCCTCGCTCCGCCCAGCTAGGAGCTAGGCGGAGCGAGACATGCATCTGGCTGTTGTCAGGTTAGTAGGCCTTAGCTGTCAGGTCATGGTGTCGCGCGCACTGATACGAACAGAGAGAAAATAGGACCAAGTGATAACGACGTGTGACTTTTTCCACTACAATGTTTTTGGGATGCAAAAATATCACTCTTTTGAACACATAATGTTTTGGGAAGAGAAACGTTTTATTTCGCTGGGTCTAGCAAACCTGCCGGACTACTTTCGGCTTGACCAAAGCTGGACGAGAACTCTGCTCACAGGATGCTGCCAGGGGTAAGTCAGTGTGATTGCATGACACTGGTGATGGGGATGCCATACAGATTCATGTCAAAAATCCCGAACTATCCCTTTAAGCTCCATATTCATGGAAACAGAACTACACTAAATCATGTCGATTTGGTGGCATTTCCTTGGTCATGGAAATAGTCTACATTGCTAATGGGAAATAAATACATTCAAAATGTTTGTCAGTATTTTGGTTTTAAATCCTTTATCAACATGTCTCTTTTTTCCTGTCCACTGCCTGTTTGTGATCAAATGTGTATCTTTGGGTTTCTTACGCTTTGTATCATATAAAAAATTTAAATAGCATTCGAGTTTCACAATAATTGTAAAATTGGTTGTTCTTTTTTTATTTCTTTAAATGAATGAATACATGTTCTTTTCATTTACCGTGCTTCTTTAAAGGTTACATGATGTTCATTAGAGAGTTCATACTTGGCTCTCAAAGATCCAATGGCCTCTGACACCAGTTCCTTCTGTCTGAAGTCCCTTTCACAAATACAGGACATTATTATTTGGTAACAGTTTTAATCCATAAAAAACTGAGTCAACAAAAGGTTCTTAAATATTTTTGTGTTCAGAATATACAACAAAGATTGTATCAGTCATAATTTTTTTCAAAAACATATGAGCATGAAATCACATATCAAAGCCAAATAAAATCAGTGTTAAAATATGTGAGGTTAAAGGTCTTACTCACTTCTTGTTTGAAAAATTAACAGGAATATCTTTTGAGCAGTCTGATTGAGTCTCATCCAGGGAATAGACCAGGTCTGGCTTTCCTGATCTGAAAACATTACATTTAAAAAATAATCAAACTTTAATGTCTACAGGATAAAACATGTAAATTTCAAAAGAGCACTGATTCTAATGTTTAGTTAACAAAGATTAATCAAAATTAATGATAGAATAAAAGATAAATTGTAATAAAAAAACTGAATAAACTGTAACCTAAATGTTTTTAAAACTAATTTTGATTTTACTCAAGCATCCTTTATCAACAAGAATGAATACAGTATAAGTTGCTTCAATAAAAGTTTGGTTAGTCGCTCTGATACAGTGGTTTGTCTTTTTTTATTTTGATATAATCTTTTGATAGAACTCTTTCAGAATATTGGCTGTCATTTGAGAAGTCTGCATTTTAAGGTTAATCCAGAGAATACCTATTGGCGAGGGCAATAATCAAAGCTTCAGTTCACATCCAGCAACTTTGCACAGCTACTGAAGAGAAGTGGAACCGCAACCAACAGTCTGATCAACTTAATGTGAGGGAAACTCCTTGAACTGCATGATGCCAGTCCTAATCACATCAAATTCTGACTAGTTTCCATGGTGCCTCTTGTTAAGAAATGTTTGTCATGATCTCAGCACTGAAGGCTGACTTAATCACACATTTTTTTTACCTGCCTAATTCTGCCCAGTATCTCATTACTGCTCACCTGAACCACCTGCTCCTGCCTCTATTTATGCTGCCTGCTACAAGGGGCTGCAGCATCTGGGGCACTTTGGGTGGCGCCCGCCATATCTTGCTGGCAGCCACCGGTTAGATCCTACCTTGTTCTCTGGGCATGGACTGAACTGAACTGTTAAATCAGGTTAGTGACTCACGCGTTCATAATCATCCATCCGTCAGATTATCGGGGTCACTGACCTGTGTTTTCGCTCCTGCACAGTTTCCTGTCACTGCTACTGCAGATCCGCAGTCTGTTTATTTTAATAAATGCTTTTTGAAGTTATTCCACTGTCTGCCTTGCCTTGAATACTGGGTCCTCTGTTCTAAGCTGTTAAAATATTAGAATTTTTGAAATTATAGCCTTATTGAATAATACATGGTAATATCTTATGACTGTTTGGAAGAAATTAACAGAGATAAAACAGCGACAGGAAGATAAAAGAGAGGTTGAAAAAACTTTGGCTGAACAGATCTGGGCATAAAATAAAGCAGAAAAAGTTGAGACAAAACCTTTTAATCTCTTTGAAGGAGTTAGAGAAAATCCCAGGCATAGACTTACCAATAAAAAATGAAGTAGAAGGCATAAAAAAAGAGAATTTCTATTTCAAAATTGTTTAAAAAGGCAACAAAAAAGTTCCTAAAATATGAGTGCCAATAGTATGAATATCTTTATGAATGTGTGGACTGCACTCTTCATTTACCGTCCTCTTTTGAAGGCTGTAGGATGCTTTTTAGAGAGTTCATACTTGGCTGTCAAAGATCCAATTGCCTCTGACACAAGTTTCTTCTGTCTGGAGTCCCTTTCACAAATACAGCACATTGTTATTTTCTGACACTTTTGATCCATAAACGATCGAATTAACAAAAGGTTCTTAAATGGTTTTGTGATCAAAGTATTGAATAAAGATTGAATCAGTCATTGATTTTTATAAAAACAATATGAAGCATGGAAATAAATTTTAAAGCTGAATAAAAACAGGGAGTGAAAGTAGGAGAGGTTAAAGGTCTTACTTCTTGTTTGAAAAATTTACAGGAATATCTTTTGAGCAGTCTGATTGAGTCTCATCCAGAGAATAGTCCAGGTCCGGCTTTCCTGATCTGAAAACATTACATTTCAAACACAATCAAACTCTAATGTCTACAAAATAAAACCTGTACAAAAACAGCACTGATTCTAAAGTTTGGTAAACAAAGATTAATCCAAAATTACTGAAGAAGAGAAAGAAGAATTTTAACAAAACTCTGAATAAACAGTAGCCTGTTTTTGAACTAATTTTGATTTTACTCAAGCATCCTTCATCAACAACAATGGATACAGAATAAGGTAGTTTTAAAAAGCAACAAAAAAGTTCCTGAAACATGAGTGCCAATAGTTTTTTTTGTGTGTATTTCGCTGAATATCTTTACGTATTAATGTGGGAACTGAACTTTTAATTTACTGTGTTCCTATAAAAGCTAAATGATGCTCAAGAGATTGTTCAGGCTTGGCTGTCAAAGATCCAATGGCCTTTGACACCAGTTACTTCTGTCTGAAATCCCTTTCACAAATACAGGACACTGTTTTTTTTCGGACAGTTTTAATCCATAAACGGCCGAGTCAACATTAGATTCTTAAATATTTTTGTGTTGAAAATATTCAACAAAGATTGTATCAGTCATTGATTTTATAAAAAAAAAGCATATGAAGCATGAAATCAAATATCAAGGCCGAATAAAAGAATTGTGTGATTAAAGGTGCCGTAGGAGATCTTGGAAAAACAGTTCTAGCAAGCCATATGTTTGAACATACACCACCATGCCTCTCCCTTCAGAACATCCCTCGAAACCACGCCTTCAAAACATATGAACGTGCATGCTGTCTGTCGAGGTGTTCAAATGTTTCAGAGATCGAGAGCGAAACAAGCCGAGACCGGGTGCTCGTGACACGAGCTAAAAACAACATAATGCTACGTTCACACTTATAGCAGCAGAGGCAGAAAAAGCAGCTTGTTTACATGCAAAGTCAATGGTTGACGCTCATCATGGCATACCAAAAGATCCTGCAGCACGTCTAAAGCAGCAGGAGCAGCGCATCTGAGCAGCTGAAGCAGCGCGTTGCTGATGTCAGAGTTGGCAGGGAGACAGACACAGTACTGCTGACGCAGAGCACTATGATCACTCCTCTGATACAGATTATTAACGTCTAAATTAACTTAAAATGCCAAAATCTGCCGATAAAACATGTTCGCTCAGACCGCACGCTCTGAGCGCCTCAAACAGAAACAATATTTGAAGGCAGGATGTAAATCTGGATGAACTGACTGCACTGACGATGCTTTCAGGTGGACTTTGTCACTTCAAAATAGATTTAAACTACTTTTTACCAATTGATCACAGCAAATATAGCTGCCATTGTTACAGGCAAAGAAAGGATAGGGAAGCTCCGCCCAACACGCATCAGACCCATTTTTTCCACCGTGCAGCCAGAGGAGCAGAGATGCTTCAGCAGCCCATCAGAACTAAACTTGTACACAAATCAAAAATGAAGCAGCACACGCATTTTTGCTGCTCTTGCTACTTTATGTGTGGACGTAACATAACAGTGGCTAGCTTCTAGCCATGGCGTCCTGCTCGAGCATTTGGGGTCAATTGGTTAATGTGTAAGGGTGTGCGCACAGGGGGGAAGGACAAGCAGACCACGATTGACATGTCAGGAACCAATAGTATACAACACACCATGTTTTATGATTGGTGGGGGTTACTCATTGATTTCACACTTTAGCGGGGACCATTTATTTTAGTTTCACTTCCAGACCTTCTATTTCACTGCTTGCTACGCTGTTGTGGGGAGATCTTCAACCCACATGGAAAAAAATGGGTCAGAAAAAATCTCCTACTGCACCTTTAAAGATCTTACTCACTTTTTGCTTGAAAAATTTACAGGAATATCTTTTGAGGAGTCTGATTGAGTCCCATCCAGAGAATAGTCCAGGTCTGGCTTTCCTGATCTGAAAACATTACATTAAAAAAAAATCAAACTTTAATGTCTACAACATAAAACCTGTAAAACTTCAAAAGAGCACTGATTCTAATGTTTAGTTAACAAAGATTAATCAAAATTAATGATAGAATAAAAGATAAATTGTAATAAAAAAACTGAATAAACTGTAACCTAAATGTTTTTAAAACTAATTTTGATTTTACTCAAGCATCCTTTATCAACAAGAATGAATACATTATAAGTTGCTTTAATACAGTCATTTAAAATGGCCCTTCCCAGTCAAACCCACTTCCCTTCAACTCCCAGCAAAATCCCCTCCAAATTCCAGCCACTGGAGGGACCCCCTGTTGCATTTTTGTACTCTGACTCCATCCTTTCACTGAATTACAGGGTCTGACCAGAAGAGGATGCTTCACTTTAGATCTAAATGTCAACAAATCATGACAGAAAGAATATTTTAGTGCAAATATTGATGTTTAAAAATGAATTGTAGAGGACCAGCCAAGGGCCCATCAAGGAAAGTGAAGAAATTTAAAATGGCTACTGCTGTAGAGGGGAGGGCAGCAATCAAAGTTTCCGTTCACATCCAAAAACTTTGCACAGCTATTGAAGAGAAGTGGATTTACAATCAACAATCTAAACAACTCAATGTGAAGCAAACTCCTTGAACTGCATGATGCCAGTCGTAGTCACACCACATACTGAGTAGTTTTGCTGGTGCCTCTAGTTAAGAAATATTAGTTTTTAAAATATTATTCTTAATGAATAATATATCTAATGCTTGTTTGGGAGGAATTAACACAGGTAAAACATTAGCAGCAGGCAGAGAAGTAGAAAGAACTTTGGGTGAAATGGTCTGGGCATAAAATAAAGCAGAAAAAGTTAAGAAAAAACCCTTTAATCTCTTTGAAGAAGGTAGAGAAAACCACATGCATACTGTAGACTGACCATTAAAAAATAAAGACAACAGACTTGCTTAGCAGAAGGCATAAAAAAAGAGGTCATTTCCATTTCAAACTTGTTTTAAAAACCAACAAAAAAGTTTTTAAAATATGAGTGATTAGTTGAGTGCCAATAGTTGTTTTTGCGTATTCTAAATATCTTTATGAATGTGTGGACTGCACTCTTCATTTACCGTGCTCCCTTGAAGGCTGCAGGATGCTTTTTAGAGAGTTCATACTTGGCTGTCAAAGATCCAATGGCCTCTGACACCAGTTTCTTCTGTCTGGAGTCCCTTTCACAAATACAGCAAATTGTTATTTTCCCACAGTTTTAATCCATAAGTTATTGAGTCAACAAAAGGTTCTTAAATCTTTTCTGTGAGCAAAATATTCAACAAAGATTGTGTCAGTCATTGATTTTTATAAAAAAAATAAATAAATAAACATATGAAGCATGAAATCAAATATCAAGGCCGAATAAAATAATTGTTTCAAACTAGGTGAGCTTAAAGGTCTTACTCACTTCTTGTTTGAAAAATTTACAGGAATATCTTTTGAGCAATCTGATTGAGTCTCATCCAGAGAATAGTCCAGGTCTGACTTTCCTGAGCTGAAAATATCACATTTCAAAAACAATCAGACTTTGATGTCTACAGGATAAAACCTGTAAAACTTGAAAATAGCACTGATTCTAAGGTTTAGTGAACAAAGATGAATCCAAAATTATGAAAGATTAAGAGAAGAATTTTAACAAAAAAAATGTAGAAACTGTAGCCTAAATGTTTTAGAACTAATTTTGGTTTTACTCAATCATCCTTCAACAACAATAATGAATACCGTATATGGTTGTTTTAAAAGCAACAAAAAAAGTTCCTAAACTATCAGTGCCAATAGTTGTTTTTGTGTATTTCTCTGAATGTGTGGACTGCACACCTAATTTACTGTGCTCCTATAAAAGACTTATAATATAATATAATATATATATATATAATATATATAATATAATATCCTATAATAGACTTGGCCTTCAAATATCCACTGCCCTCTGACACTAGTTTCTTCATATGAAATCCCTTTAACTAAGGATAGAAATAGAAAATAGTATACAATACATAGATACAAGCTATATTTCTAAATGCAAGATATGTTTGAAATCTATAACCCACAGAAATTCAGTGTGATCTACTTTTTTCTCACCATTACTTGTAGTATAAGACTTGAGAACTAAAATAGCAAAGGAGGGAAATAGTGTACTAGATTTACAGGCATAACTCACATTTTGTTTGGAAAAGGAATATGCTTAGACCAGTGTGATTGAGTCTCATTGTCAAAGTCTGGTATCTCTGATCTGAAAACATAACAAAACAAACGTGTCAAGCTTGTACACAGCACATATCCTAAGACTCATCAAACAAGATTAATCTAAGATTATTTAGAAAAATAACAAAACAAAACAAAAATATCTCAAGCTTCTACGAAAGCCAAAACATGTGACTAAGGTTTTTGATTTAATGAGCAATTGCTACAACCTTTAAAATGTTGACATGTAAAGAAATTTGGAATAATATATCAGCTATACTTCTTATAATTTTGCTTCTGAAAAATTATAACAGACAAATACCATATCATAAAATAGAAATATTGTGAAGTTATCAAAATGGTATACTCAGAATGCTTTTTTAAAAGCATATGTATTCTATTTGCTTCTATATTCCATTCCATTTATGTTATGAATTTAGGTTTTCTAGTGAAGAAATGAAATATAAAATGTTTATAAGGAAAAGTGCTAGGCTGGTTTAAATGTTATTTATCTGACAGATTTTAGTTTGTGCACATTATTCATAAATCCTCCAGGGTTACCGGATGGAATACCGCAGCGATCAGTGCTGGAAACAATTCTCTTTAATATATATATATATATATATATATATATATATATATATATATATATATATATATATATATATATATATATATATATATATATATATGCTCCCAATGGGTATAATTATTAGGTAGCATGGGATTAATTTCCATTGTTATGCTGATGATTCTCAGCTATGTTTTCCTATAAAGTGCCTTAACATGATGTGTTGTGAATGGGCACTATATAAATAAACTGAATTTAAAATGTTAGCAATCTGTGTGCTAATCTAAGCTAACCCCCAGCTGTTTTCCTTAGACATATGTACTGTATGTGTTTCTAATGAATGACCAATGAAAAAAATACCAGCTCTAGAAATGCCACAGCATTAGAACCTTGTACAAACAGAAGAAGTAACACAAAACTACATTAAGGAAAAGAGCCAATCCATTATCGAAGAAAGGAAAATCAAAAACCTAAAAAATAAGATGTATATTATTGATATGATCTTACCGTTTACCCTTCAAAGGGAGTTCAGTGGAGCGCTGAGCCCTTTCACTCAAACATTCACAGGATTTTGATGTTCTCAGCCTGAAAATTTGTTTTAGTTTGTTTAGTTTAATAGCTTTAAGGAAAAAATAATAATAAAAAATAATAAAGCTTGCAACAAACTTCTTATTCTCATTGCTTTATAGTAGATTGTGTTTGCTTTTCGGAAACTTTGGCATTTCATTTTATTAGTACTGGGATTTGAAAGGTGGAAGTCCCTCTTACTTTTTATCTTTCTCCTTAAAGCCTGCAGACTTTCCTGTGTGCTCTTTGTCAAGGAATGTAGCCACAAGATTCCTCACAGTCCCCCTGTTAAGAGTCAGTGAAATCATGTTTGACTAACATTTATATACACAAACACGATACCTTAAGCAGGTTATTCACAGCTTTTTATGTTTCTGACTTAAGTTGAACGTTTGAGTGAAATGAAACCTCTGATTGTATTGTACTGATGTGGAGGGAAAAATAAGCTTGTCAAAGTACTGTTGAGGTAAAAGTCACTCAGTCAGGTATATCAAAGTATCTACAATGAGAGAAAAAACTGATACAGAGAGCATCTAGGCATACATGTGAGCTCTTGTCAACGGATTCAGTATAACTTTTATACCCAAGGACAGAAGAATTTCAAAAGTATTTTCCGGATAGGCTTTGAGAACCGACTTTTTGACAGCTGTACTAAAACATTTGTTGGAATGAACAGAAAGCCAGTAATCTAAACAAACAACCAAAAGCTAAATTTTAATAGCATCACTCTCTGTATAAACCAAAAGTAAAAAAAGTTTCACTCTTACTTTTCAATGTCCTCCATGTTCAGTGAACGCTATGGTGAGAGTTACTGCCTTCCACCTTTGAACGGAACAACCGCTGAGCCATTAAAGTTAATGCTGGTTTACAATCATAGGGTCAACTATAACTTGAAAAGAAAAAAAATCAGAGGGAAAAAAAATTAAGCTGAAACATTTAAATCTGCATCAAAATCTTAGATACTCTTCCTTTGTAATAATTATACCTTGACCGATGTATTCAATACTACAGAGTTGTAGGGTATTGGGCTAGATTGATTTAAAATATTGAAAACATTTTGTCTTTAGGATGGTGGTACTTTGTAGTCTAAAGTGCTTTCTTCCCTCTGTGAAAACCCCTGACCAGTGCCAAACCCTCTTTTTAAACTAGACATGGGTCGAATCTTAATCTTTTATATCTATGCTGTGGCTGTCTTTCTTTTTCCACTACAGTATAAGGCCCCTAGTCCCCCAAAGAAAAGAGTCAGGTAACAATTAACAATAGAGCATCTAATGTATTCCATATTTTAGTAGGAACAAAACCAATGTAATTGTAAAATCTATACAACATATTTTTTCAGATACCTTCATGTTAGTTGCTTTATTTCTTCAAGAATAAACATTTAAAGGAAGAAGATTCCATTTAAAAGCCTTTTTGACCTGGAAAGTAAAAAAAATAAAAATTATAACCAATCTATAACTTTAGATGTTCACTAAAATTGGGGAAAACACAAAGTGACAACTTTAAAATTATGTAGTACTTGTATTCATGTCTTAATCAATCAAGTTGTCATTTTCTCACTGAACACAGTGTTTGCTACAAGAGAATATTTATAATCATCACAAATCTACACATCACTGAAAAAAGTTGCTTGAAATGATAACCAAAATATTTATAAATACTCACAGAATAATGTTTACAGTTAAACAATCTTCTTTTTTTTTTACAGGAAAGAACTATAATAAACGCCACTCGGGCATTTTTTTTTGCATACAGAGTACACGTATATACATGGAGAAATGTCTCACGTAACTATCAAAAAATATATGATATAAATAATAACTTACCAACAGCAAATGTTCCTGGAGATGACTACATTTTAGTGAATGGACTGACAGCTGGAAAGGTGACTGAACAAGGAAGAAGGGTGAGGACTTTGGACATCCCTTAGAGTCTTACAGGAGTGCTAATTATGAGTTTGTGCTTTGCTGAGATAAGAATTGAGCACTTGTAGGATATTACATAAAATATGCATCTGATTTCCTGGTTCATAGCAGTGATTTATATCACTATGATTTAAATATTACTGCTGTAACTGAGTATAATCTCTGTTTTATTGCTGTATTACTTGTATATCTTAGATATAACAGCATTTAGTTACCTGCTGCTTCATCTGGGAAGCTATTGGCAACATGTACATTAGGTACTTGCCTCTGTTTTTACCCGTCATATTAAATGTTCCCAAGTTGGCCTTGGTTGACTGTGGAGCAAAGGTTATTACAAGCAGCACTCCTTCACCTTTCTGAGCCTGAAAGATTTATTATCTGAAGTTAGTTGCTGCAAACCCCAATCTAAAAATAACCGGGAATCTTTCCTCCAGCACCCTTTATCCATTTTAAATGCTACAATTGTACATTTATGATTTATCCCACGATAGATTATGTCAAAATGTTTTGCAGTAATCTCAGTCAAGAGTTTATCTTATTCAGAAATGTGTGTGTTTATTAAATACTGATTAAGGTAAAGTATGCAATCTTTATGTGTTAGTTTTTTTCCTCCTTGAGAACTAGTGGGAGTGCACACTGAGATGCTACCACATTGTAAATAAAACCTGACTGCCTACACGAATGAGTGGTTGAAGCCGTCAAGGCCAAGACTGATGTCTCCAAACCTTTATTTATGTTGATATCATGACCTCCTGCTTAGTACCAAAAAAAGTAGATTTAATACTTTTCCTCCTTAAAGGTTGTAAGTTCTGAAAAAGAAAGACGACTTTCATATGATATTATCAGCGTGAGTTGCAATGACATACTTAGGTGCAAGTGCTCAAATGGAAAAAAGCTGAAAAGTAGCATGGGATGTTAGCTACGAGTTGGCTACCTTGGTGACATTAAACTTTTTTTTATACAGGTACGGCCTAAATGTCATGTAAACAGTTTTTTAACAGTACTCATAAACTGTTTAATGTAAAGTATATTAGAATATATAAGAAAACATGTTCATTTAAACCTGTCCTCTGAGAAGCCAAGGTTTTTTTAACTCGTAAAAAAGAAGAAATTATGTTTTCTCAAGCTTTTTGCGTTATATACGTTATAATGCTGCCTTTGGCCCGTTCTTATGGCTTTCAAGGGTTTTCTATAGTGCTGCCTTTATCTTTACCTTTTATACCCCCCATGGTCATGGACAATACACGCACCTTAGTTTAGTTTTGTCTACAATTTAATGTTTCGTTTAGCAATAACTCAGTGCAATATTTATTGATGTTACTTCTTCAATAACTCAGTTCAATATATATGTATATATATAGTTCTTTACCCTGTATATAGCGAGCTCTTAGTCATAGAAAACATATTTATTGTGCAGGAACAAGGTCTTAGCTCTGTTACACTGGTAGCCAAGTAATCGACATTTCCTTGTCAAGATTCCCCTCGTGTTTTTTTGTGCAATGACAATAAAGGAAGTCTAAGTCTCTAAGTCTAAGTTATCTCTGTGGAAAGATAGGAGACCCATTGGGGAGGGAGGGGGGAAAAATTTACATTTCACACTTTATCCTTGACGTATACAATTTGAGACACCAAAAAAACCTCAGCACAAGAAAAGCACATGTAACCCGATACAAAGATTTCAGCAGAAGGAAAACATTGGAGGCTGGAGCCACATGAAAGTCAATATGATATTAGAGACATTAGTTGTGTGTTGTGTGTTAAATTTGTCCATGAACTCTGTCTACAAGCCATTGTCCTTAATAAGATGTAGGTTTATCAACCGGCACTACAGTTCGTGGCGCATCCACAGATATTCGGGTGTAGGGGAGGGGGAAGCAATTCTTCTGTGCCCTTCCACCATAACATCCAGTGGAGATTTTGATAAGGGGGGAGGCAGAATCCAAAATAACAATTAATGTTTTGAGAACAGACTGCACAGGAACTTTCCATCAGTTTGGGTCTTGTCTTGAGTCTTGTTTGAAGTTTTCTGAAGCTGGCACTACGACGCGAATCCCATATTCCAATTTTGTTGGGCTTTTCCGCCTTGAACCGAGTGTGGAAATCCAAGATATTATCCCATCTCACCGCAGCCAACCTGTGTTCACTTGCACGCAGCATACAGCTCAGCTCCCGGTCCTGCTCATTCACAGCCTTTGTGAGCACATCAACCACTGCCGGCAGCCTGATCAATGCCCAAATTGCCATCGACATCCTCTGTAATTGTAGATACATCAGGTATCCTCCACATCCAAACAGGAGAAATCTGAGTATCATAAATCTAAAAATCCATACATCTTAGATATCCTCCAATGACAACAATGTAAAAAGCGCCATCCTCCAAGCCTTCCATGAGTCCATGCTGTATCCCATGAATTATGTCCGGGCAGGACAGGACGGGTCCCCTTTTACCTGTCTTCCAGTTGAGAAAATTCGATCAATTTCATTGAGAGACCAGCTGACCAGATCCATTATTTGCATTCGGGTAATATGAAGAGAGGGCTCAGAAAAGACAAAACAGAGCAAAGCATGGACAGATCAGGGAGTTGCAGAGCAGCAAGAAAATGTGACCACCTCCTTCGAGAGTCAGAACAGAAAAAAAAAATTACAATTATCATCCTATCAAAATAATAACAGCTTATTTAAAACAAAAAAACTGTTTCTATGTACACATTAATAAAAATAGGTTTAGGATTGTGAAAATATATTCCTATTAGGTGCGTGTAATGACAAAACAAGTATTTCTTATGTGGCTGCTTCAGGCTGCTCATGAGAATGCTCAAGATTTACAGATGTCTTTTAATGTTTGTAATTTTATCTGAATATAAAAATCTAACTCAACTTTTTTAATATTGATACAGATTTTAATACAGGCTGATGGAGGCTACCCAATGCACTGCAGCTGTCCAGGATGAAGTATAAACAACTGTAGGCCATTTGATTTTACATTTTTCGTCATTTAAAAAAAGATAGATAGATAGATAGATAGATAGATAGATAGATAGATAGATAGATAGATAGATAGATAGATAGATAGATAGATAGATAGATAGATAGATAGATAGATAGATAGATAGATAGATAGATGATAGATAGATAGATAGATAGATAGATAGATAGATAGATAGATAGATAGATAGATAGATAGATAGATAGATAGATAGATAGATAGATAGATAGATAGATGATAGATAGATAGATAGATAGATAGATAGATGATAGATAGATAGATAGATAGATAGATAGATAGATAGATAGATAGATAGATAGATAGATAGATAGATAGATAGATAGATAGATAGATAGATAGATAGATAGATAGATAGATAGATAGATAGATAGATAGATAGATAGATAGATAGAAAATGCAATGTTGCTCAACTGTCAGTGGGAGAGGGAGGGGGTTGGGGGTTGAAGAAATGGGCTGCTGGTGGATCATCTGTTTACATGATGATGGAGGGAGACTGATAGTTTAATGATAATTTAATGTGAATATCCTGCTAAATATCTACTAGTGTTTGGCTAATGTTAACTACAGTGTTTTCCTGTAGTCTAGTGTGGTTGGTAAATGTTAACTCTCAGCCCTGTGAGCTTCAGGCTAAGTTGCTTGGCCTCTGTGTTATTTGCAGACACACAATATGCTCAATAAATGCTGCATTAATCCTAGTTTATTTTTTGAAAACACAATAATATAAAATTAAAAAACTTGCAGTCATGTTTCGTTTCAGAAAGGACCCAGCTGGGTGGCATCATTAAGTGATCCCCCTCCGACATTGAGGGAGAACTGCTAGTTGTATCCAGCAGATGGGTATCTTATTTGTTACTATTTGTTATCTTATTTGAACTATTTAGTTAGAGGGGGGGAAACTGGGTCACTGTATTGGACGCCTTTCTCCTTCTCTCCTCTTTCTCCTTCCTTTCCATTCCTTTTTGAAACCCAGGCTTTGGGGCGCTGCATTTTTCAGCTGGGGACGTTTTTTTTCCACACTGCTGCTTATTTACAAATTTTATTGTTCATTTGTTTCTTTAGTTATCACTATCTGAAATTACTTCAGGTGGCATTTAAGCCCTGAACAGAGGACCAAACAATTTACTGCAATTTAAGGGGGGGGTCAATATATTCACTTTTTGTTTCACTGTTTACTGCTGAAAAATAAGGGAGAACATGAATATTATTTATTTTCCTGATGGATTTTTCTTTTTATATTTAAAAAAATATGTATAAAACTAATCTTTTCTTCTTCTATTGACCCCCCTCAGTCAAGGGCCCCTAGAATCGTCATCCTAGCTTTTCACCCAATATGGCGCCCCTTATAATAAGTCCAGAACTTATGTCCAACCGCCGTCCGGATCTGGACCCACCTGCTGGCTAATCTGGACCCAACCTCATTTAAACATTTATAAATTACCGCATGTTGTGTCTAACTTTACTTGCGCCACTTCTCCTGCTAATATGGTAAAGCCCTCTGGAGCGTCCAGGACCAGGCTACACGTGATACAAATTAGCCAATGAGCTGTGTCAGTCTGGGTTGCTGCAGCTATCTACTTTTAGACACAGCAGGCAGATCTGTGGCAAGCCGGGCAATGGGAAAGTGAAAGAAGACGATGAGAAAAAGGAAGCAGAGAAAGTGTGGATGCTGGAAGAACCGCAGTGAACTGGTGACAGAAAAGTGAAATTGTGTGCTCAAAGATAACTTTGCACATTTTAAGTATGTTTGGCTCAACCTGCTGCTGTGAAGCAGGATTTTCCACCATAAACATAATCAAAAATGAATATCGATTGAGGCTCATAAATGAGCACCTTGATATGTGTGATATGTGCTTGAGAATGGTTTTGTCACAATTCAAACCCAGTTTTAAAAGCCTAAAGAGCAGTGTAAAGCCAACTTCTCTCATTAAGCCATAAAAAAGAAAACAGAAAAAACAAAAGGTCAGTTTAGGCGTTTTA